GTTTTTTAAAAGTGTATTTATAAAATGAAGTAAAAATATATATTGAGAGAGAATAGGTTAGAACGTAAACAGCTTAATGGAATTTTTAAAAAGCGAATCTATATAGAAACGTGAAAATACATTTTTACAAAGAACATCTTTAAATATAAAATACGGGTTAATGGAATTTTTGAAAGGTGTATTCATGAGGAAACAGTAAACATACATTCTTGTAAAGAACAGCACAGAGTGTTACAAAAAGCACGGCACACATCGATCCCAACGTATTTCAATTAAATGGAATAAAGTCCAACGGTGTGCATTCAACTTTTTTTGAACCGATTTCTAGGCCACACACCTCTCAATTTTTTAACGTATTTATTTATAACTTTGCCTTTATTTGTGTGATATGTATGTATACGTATAAGGTGATTCTACACTCTTGGTTTGGTGAATGATAATATAAATAATTCGCCACAAAATTGACTTTGATCTTGAATATTCGAAGGCAAGAATCGAAATGATTTTTCGTTAAATAAATTATTATATTAATTTACGGAAATACGTATCTAAATTTTACATAGTTGATAATAGCGAAGAGTATAATAGAATGCAGTAAGAAAATTATTTCGATTTTTTCACATTGAATTTTCAAGATCACAGGGTGACCCATTTAAGTTGAGATTGTAAAAAATCTCGCAAACACGTGATTTAAGTGAATTAAAAAAAATTAAGTGATTTAAAAAAAAGAAAAACTGACACATGTGCTTTAGTAGTGGTAGAGTCAAATGGTGCTACTACTTTTTGAATACGTGGGCGTTTTCAAAGTTATTCCAAGATCATCATGCTTTTTTTATCGTAAACCTATATTGTTTATTTCGAAATCAAATTCTACGTAAAAAATGTACAACCTTTATTTGAAACATTTTTTTGCAATATGATATTCTTAAATGAAATAAAATACTTTCTAGAAGAAAGAAACGTTATCATTTTAATAATAAAAAAGGAACACTATTATTTTATTAAAAAAAATCTTCGACGTAGACATGAAAAATCAGCTAAATATCTTAGAAAATATTGAAGTTCCAAAAAAATGTTTCAAATAAAAGTTATGCATTTCTTTACGTAGAATTTGATTCCGGAATAAACAATATAGGTTTACGATAAAAAAAACAAGATGACCTTAAAATGACCTTGAAGATGCCCACGCATTAAAAAACTAGTAGCACTATTTGACTCCCCACTCGAAATACTAAAGGACGTGTGTCAATTTGTCTTTTTTTTTAAATCACATGTTTATGAGATTTTTCACAATCTCAACTTAAATGGAACATCCTGTATACTTATATCGATATTCACGAGACCGAAGGTGAAGGATTATGTCATGCTGGTTCAACACATAATATAATTTTATGACATCCTGTACATAATATAGTATATCAAAGATAAAAGAGGTATTCATGCGTGCGTTAATACTTCCCTAAAATGTAACGATAACTGTTTGTACAATACTTTTATTCTAATTCGTGAATCACTGCTGACCATTTCAACTCAATATACATACATGCAGTTAATACAATATTAATTTAATTTAAACTGTTTCGCATGTGTGATTAAATACTGTTTGCAAAAAGTGGTGATGTATCGTCATCGAGATTTCCAAATTTGTTCGAATCCGAACGATTACTGTCAAACCATTTAGCCAGACTGTAAAACAATTAAAACGGAATGCAGTCGTGATTGGCATAATTTCCGAAAGGTCAAACTGCTGAAAATACAAACGTTTTTAAAAGGAAGGTACGTCGAAAATTCACACCGTTCAATAACGGATGCGATAAGATTGCACGCGGAGAAAATGATTGATAGTGTTCGATCAATGTCACAAAGTATTTTTAACCTTCTGCGACTCGGTGTAATTCCGAACCCGCACACTTATTTAGCATATTTTTTGCCTATGATCATATTTAGACACAACGTCGCAGAGACAGCTTCTTTTGTTGTTTCACCTTTATAATCGAGAAAATTATCACGATTTTCATCATGATTTGATTCGTTGTTTATTTATATACACAAATATATACTTCTTGGTTTCGAGATATATCATTTTTTGTGTATTTAATTAACTACTAATGTTACAGAACGCAGAAGAAAATGGAGCATCACGCGCATTCTAATAAGTTACTGTAAATATATTTTTTTAATTTCAATAAAATGTATTAACAGATCAAAATTTTCCATGAAATCAAACATATCGAACATTATTACTTTATTTTTACCAGGAGGAATATTTTAGTCAATGAAACAAATACATTTATTGATTTATTAGATATTAATTATTACTATTATTATTGTTTCTGTTTTTTTNACACTCTACTCATTTAAGGATTCATTTACTTTTTATTCATTTAAGTATTCATTTACTATTTACGCTTTCAGTAGTCATTTACTGTTTACTCATGTATGTATTCATTTACTTTCTACTCATTTAAGCATTCATTTACTATTTACTCTTTCAGTATTAAATTACACTCTACTCATTTAAGGATTCATTTACTTTTTATTCATTTAAGTATTCATTTACTATTTACGCTTTCAGTAGTCATTTACTGTTTACTCATGTATGTATTCATTTACTTTCTACTCATTTAAGCATTCATTTACTATTTACTCTTTCAGTATTAAATTACACTCTACTCATTTAAGGATTCATTTACTTTTTATTCATTTAAGTATTCATTTACTATTTACGCTTTCAGTAGTCATTTACTGTTTACTCATGTATGTATTCATTTACTTTCTACTCATTTAAGCATTCATTTACTATTTACTCTTTCAGTATTAAATTACACTCTACTCATTTAAGGATTCATTTACTTTTTATTCATTTAAGTATTCATTTACTATTTACGCTTTCAGTAGTCATTTACTGTTTACTCATGTATGTATTCATTTACTTTCTACTCATTTAAGCATTCATTTACTATTTACTCTTTCAGTATTAAATTACACTCTACTCATTTAAGGATTCATTTACTTTTTATTCATTTAAGTATTCATTTACTATTTACGCTTTCAGTAGTCATTTACTGTTTACTCATGTATGTATTCATTTACTTTCTACTCATTTAAGCATTCATTTACTATTTACTCTTTCAGTATTAAATTACACTCTACTCATTTAAGGATTCATTTACTTTTTATTCATTTAAGTATTCATTTACTATTTACGCTTTCAGTAGTCATTTACTGTTTACTCATGTATGTATTCATTTACTTTCTACTCATTTAAGCATTCATTTACTATTTACTCTTTCAGTATTAAATTACACTCTACTCATTTAAGGATTCATTTACTTTTTATTCATTTAAGTATTCATTTACTATTTACGCTTTCAGTAGTCATTTACTGTTTACTCATGTATGTATTCATTTACTTTCTACTCATTTAAGCATTCATTTACTATTTACTCTTTCAGTATTAAATTACACTCTACTCATTTAAGGATTCATTTACTTTTTATTCATTTAAGTATTCATTTACTATTTACGCTTTCAGTAGTCATTTACTGTTTACTCATGTATGTATTCATTTACTTTCTACTCATTTAAGCATTCATTTACTATTTACTCTTTCAGTATTAAATTACACTCTACTCATTTAAGGATTCATTTACTTTTTATTCATTTAAGTATTCATTTACTATTTACGCTTTCAGTAGTCATTTACTGTTTACTCATGTATGTATTCATTTACTTTCTACTCATTTAAGCATTCATTTACTATTTACTCTTTCAGTATTAAATTACACTCTACTCATTTAAGGATTCATTTACTTTTTATTCATTTAAGTATTCATTTACTATTTACGCTTTCAGTAGTCATTTACTGTTTACTCATGTATGTATTCATTTACTTTCTACTCATTTAAGCATTCATTTACTATTTACTCTTTCAGTATTAAATTACACTCTACTCATTTAAGGATTCATTTACTTTTTATTCATTTAAGTATTCATTTACTATTTACGCTTTCAGTAGTCATTTACTGTTTACTCATGTATGTATTCATTTACTTTCTACTCATTTAAGCATTCATTTACTATTTACTCTTTCAGTATTAAATTACACTCTACTCATTTAAGGATTCATTTACTTTTTATTCATTTAAGTATTCATTTACTATTTACGCTTTCAGTAGTCATTTACTGTTTACTCATGTATGTATTCATTTACTTTCTACTCATTTAAGCATTCATTTACTATTTACTCTTTCAGTATTAAATTACACTCTACTCATTTAAGGATTCATTTACTTTTTATTCATTTAAGTATTCATTTACTATTTACGCTTTCAGTAGTCATTTACTGTTTACTCATGTATGTATTCATTTACTTTCTACTCATTTAAGCATTCATTTACTATTTACTCTTTAAATCTTCATTCCACTGAGTAAAAATATTCATTTATTTCTTACTCATTTAAGTACTTATTACTTACTCCCTGAGTAAATAGTACATCATAAATAATTCATACAAGAATTCAACCAACAGTTTACAAGCTACAAAATAAACCATTATGAATTCTCCCGAAAGAATTCGATCTCCTGAAGAAGCTGTTACACGGATGGCCGCCCCTAATCTCTTATTTACCAGCCCCATTCCGAGACGCCCAGGGAACTCCCCGGTGAGAACGCTAGATAGGGAAATGTCTACTTACGTGGTGACCCTCTGAGGCTCCTCGATATCAATGTCAATTTCGTCACTGGTCGCCTCCGTGACGGAGCTCGTCTGCGAGGTGAAGAGGCTTCCCCTGCCAACCGGAAACACGCTACTCACACTACCAAACTCAACAACCAGTTCCTTCGATGTTCAAAGCCGCTCTAGAGAAAGTGCTCTTCAGCCGGCTGACGTTTCCTGTCAGCCCAAGTTTACCCGGTCGACTATTATTTCCCGGCGAAATTTCCAGAGGTTTTCCGCCACCCCCGAAGGCTCACGCGCCGTGTTCAACGCGTCTCGACTAAAGTAATCGACACTCGCGACTTCCCGCCGATTGCGCGGTAATTAACGAATTTAACGAGAACTCGATTACCATCACGGTGATGCATCCGCGACGCGACGCACAGCGCTCGATTTTTATTATTTCATCGACAAAAATCAATATCGCTTGAAATCCAGCGAACTTTCATTTCTAACCGGATAATAATGTTAACGCCAAGAGACAATCAAAGCCGTCAAAATGTCTTTGGAATCTGTTAAATTCGTTGATATTTGAGACATTTTCTCGTATTATGAGTTCCAACGAGAATAGGTACAGTCCGGCCCACAAAAGTGTTTGTACATCATTTAAATGCAATTACTTTTTTAAACTTGGGCTAAATTAATTGATTTTTTTTCTTGGATGATAGAAGCACTAGACTACTAGACAATGACGAAAATACTTTCTCTTTTTTTAATTTTGCTGTTACTTGGAATGACAATATAAAATAAAAAGATCTCGCTTCTTAATTTTTTATCTACGATTTATGTGATCTTTAATTTGTTGTAACTCATAATAACATCAATCGATTCCAGCAGGCATTATAAATTACCGAGAGCTACGAAAAGCTTTTTACAAATTTTATTTCTAGGCTCATATAAAAATGTTAAAAAATATCACTTTTTAACTTTATTATTATTCCAACTACTTGCAATTATTGAAAACTAATTTTTAGCCATTGTCTAGTAATCCCTTGAACGTCCAAAAAAATTTAGATCGTTTAACCGAATTATAAAGAAGTTATTCCGTTTTAGAAGGGGCAATAATACTTTTCACACCGACTGTACCTACAAATCAAATAATTACAACGTCTTCATTCACAAATAAATCTTTTGTGCTTTGCTCCATCTTTTTGAGGAAAATCGTCCACTGTGCGACGCGAAAAATTGCTTCTTGGAAGATATAGGGTCGAACGGAAAATTCCTTGCGACTTTGTGAAACATTTCTCGATATAAATAATTAAATTTTCGTTTGTTTCCATTTAAATATGAATCTTCCATCGTTACAAAGATTACATTGTATCGTCTAGCGTAGACAATATTTTCTATAAAACATTCCTTTTAAGTAAGCTCATACGATTCTAGCTGTAATTTTTTGTCCAACTCACATAATATCTTCATAAAATTATCATACGTTCTCCAAACGTGGTTCAACCCCTTTGCCGTGCTTTCACGAGTCTGACTGGCGATGGAGATTATTCTGTTCTTTTAAATCGGAATAAAATTTGATTCTACTGGCTTCAATATTTAATTATTCCAGTAAATGGATTTTTTTTCTTTTTTTCGAAGAAATTATTACAATTGAAAAAGTTCCAATCGTTTCAACTGTGAAAATAACGATATGGCAAGGGGTTAATATACTGATAAAATTTCAGAACGACGAATGGAATACTTCCTCTAGGCCGCTTAATTTTACTACGATAAGTTCGCGAAATAAAAGATACTATAACTGCGCGCAATTCTAGCCACAACTTCAAATCGAATTGCTATCATTGTGTATGTATTCTTGAGATACGAGCGAACCAAGTCACTCGTTAGATTGACTTGATTAATTACTAACTAGATTGATTTAGATTAAAACGTTTCACCTCGTCTTAATTATCGATCACGGCCATTGGTCTTTTCTCTAGAGCGATCAACGAAATCGAACAGGGAAATGGAGAATATGCGCGTGATTTCAACTAAATTTAAACTATCAAAACTTGTTTTCAATAGCGACGTAACTTGTTCCCATAAAATTCTTTGCCATCGTACGTCTGTACACAGAAATTCTATCACAGACTACGATCTTCGATAGAAACATTCGATCTGACAATTGGATGCGTCATGTCTTCACAGAATGATTCAAATTGTAACTTTTCCTTTCGCTGTAATTTTTCAGGTCATTACAGGATGTCCCAAAATTATGGTATTTCTGGGAAATGAAGGGTTCCTGAAGATATTTGAAGCAACTTTTTCCTTAGCGAAAATGTAATCCGCGGCTTTGTTTACGAGTTATTAACGAAAAACACTGACCAATGAGAGGTGAACTTGACCGGCGCAAGGCGGAGCCCATGGGCGAGCAGTCGAAGCCGAGTTCAGTTCATTGGCTCGGCCGCCTCGCGCCATCCGAGCGCGTCTTTTATTGGTCAGTGTTTTTCGTCAATAACTCGTAAACAAAGCTGCAGATTGCATTTTTGCTAAGGAAAAAGTTGCTTCAAATGAGCTCAAGAACATAATTTTGGGACACCCTATGTAATTCTGACTCTTGTGACACAATGGAAACGGTAATATTAATGGGCTATTTTTCATTCAAAAAATGAGATACGAAATTGTCATTTACGGATTATTTCTCATTTTTCGTAAAATATCTATTTAACCATGACTACATAGCAACAAACAAACGGTGGTCAATAAGTTCTCAATAAAAACTCGAAATAATAATCGTGTGAAAAATTCGATTAAGAATCCAAATTTGTAAATTTCCTATTAAATACAGAATTTTAACTAAAAAGAGAAAGAAAATATTTACAAATATTAAAATCTAACTCAGAGTAGTTTGATAACGTGTAAAAAGATATTTATTGTTAACTAAACTATTCATACTGACTTTCAAAG